TTAAAGGAGTGCACCACCACGCCCAGCAGGAATGTATCTTTAAAAAAATACCTTTTACATTTATTTATTCTGTGCGTGTATACATGTGCATGCCACAGCACATATGTGGAGGTCAGAGAACAACTTGTGGGAGTGTGTTCTATCCTTCATATGGGTCCTAGGGATTAAACTCAGGTCCTCAGACTTGGTGGCAAGCACCTTTACCCCCCGAGCCATCTCTGGCTCTGGGAATTATTATGGCAATGATTCCAAATATGGAAAATGCTTTGTAAAACCTATTAGTGAGGTGCTGTAGAGGTGACTCAGCAGTTAAGAGTCATCTTGGTAGAGGAGACTTCAGTTCCCAGCACCCATGTCAGGCAGCAGCTCAGAAGCTCCAGGTGATTGGATGCTCCTCTGTTCTTTGCAGGCCACACTATGCACATACCATCCTCCCCATAATTAAAATTAAATCTTTTTTTTTCGTCTTTTTGAGACAGGGTCTCCCTGTAGCCCGAGCTGTCCTGGAACTCACTATGTAGACCAGGCTGGCCTTGAACTCACAGAGATCCACCTGACTCTGCCTCCCAAGTGCTGGGACTACAGGTGTGTCCCACCACGCCTGTCTTAAAATTAAATCTTTAAGCCGGGTGCAGTGGCACACACCTTTAATCGCAGCACTCCGGAGGATCTCTGAGTTCAAGGCCAGCCTGGTCTACATAGCGAGTTCCAGGATAGCTGGGGCTACTATGAGACTCTATCTCAAAAAGAAAAAAAAAAAAAATCAACAAAAATAACCTGAAAAAAAAAAAACAACTTGGGGAGGGAAAAGGGTTTATAGCATCTTTCACTTCCAAATGACAGTCCATCTTTGAGGGAAGTCAGGGAGGTCAAGGAGGAAGGCAGGGCAGATACCTGGAGGCAGGAACTGAAGCACAGACCATGGTAGAACGCTGCTTCCTGGCTTCCTCCTCTGGCCTGTGCTCAGCCTACTTTCTTATACAACCCAGGACCACCTGCCCAGGGGTGGCACCGCCCCCAGTGAGCTGGGTCCTTCCACATCACTCAGCAATTTTCTCACAGGTCAGTCCGACAGAGGAAATACTCCAGTTGAGGTTTCCTCTTCTCAGATACGTCAAGTGGACAACCTAAGCCACCATGACACATGTCTGAAGTGTATTGCTTGATCTATTTTTTTGCTGGGGTGGGTGCTGCTTTTTCTGGGTGCATCCAGAGTAGCAGTCATCTTTTAATTCTTGCCCAGTTCTTTGGTTGTAGACAGCACTTCTTGTTGGGTTTTCTCCAGCGGTGCTCAATGGTGTTGGAGGATGAGGGGCTGCACGAAGGAAAAAGAAAACCCAGGGCTACAGAGAGAGAAGTCTCCAAACAAATGTGTATGCACCAGGCCCTGGGGACCCCTGCCAACTACATTTCTCTACTTTTTGGTTTTCTTTCTTTTTTTTGTTTTTAATATTTTTTAAAAATATTTTATTATTTTTATGTGTATGAGTATATTGCCTGCATGTATGTGAGTGCACCCGTGTTGTGCAATGCTGTGGAGATCAGAAGAGGGCTTCGGATTCCCCTGGAACTGGAGTTAAGGATGGAACGTAGCCGCCATGTGGGTGCTGGGAATTGAACCCAGGTCCTCTGCAAGAGCAGTCAGTGCTCTTAACCGCTAAGCCATCCCTCCAGCCCCTACTTTTTGGTTTTCTTATATGTAGGGTTTCAGTGGTTCTTAGAAGAGGAATAGGACAAAATGTCTATTCCATTTCCTAGAAGCCTGAGTCTTGCCTTTTGAATTGAAGTGATTTGCAGTGCAAACATAACTTTTTCCTTTCTTCTTTTTCTTTTGTGATAACTAGAGATTGAATCTAGAGCCTGAAATCTAGAGCAAGAGCTCCCTACTGTGCTGGGTTCTGGGCTTACCCCCCTCCCACTACCTTTTATTTGTTTGTTTATTTGAGACAGTTTTTCTATGTATCACAGATGGTCTTCAAACTTGAGATCCTGCTGCCTCTGCTTCCTGAATATTGGGATTAAAAGAATGTGCCACCACCAGCAACTAAATTAACATTTAAAAATATTTTTTGAAAGCCAGGTGTTATAGACACTTGGGTCTGCTGTTACAGACATTTGGGTCAGCGAAATGATTGAAGGCAAAGGATCAAACTCTCAGGTGGAGAAAGGCGAGTTTAATTCTAAGAGTGGCTCTTTATACCTGATGAACAGGGTCAGCCAAGGATACAGAGTATAAAACAAATCAAGCAATGTTCAAAGTAAAGGGTGGTTTTTTTTTCTGTTACTAACCAAACCCTTTCCCAGAGCTCCACTCCATGAGAAAGGAAAACACAACCCATCCACTGCCCTTGACTGGGAGGCGGTGTTCCGCCAATGTCCAAACAGTCTCTTGTTTTCAAGACACAGCTCGACTCTGTCTTGTCCTTGATTCACCTTCTGCAGAACTGAGCTCCATCAGGGTGTGGTGGTACACATCTTTAATCCCAACATTTGGGAGGCAGAGGCAGGTGGATATCTGTGAGTTCAAGGCCAGCCTGGTCTACATAGTTCCAGGCCAGCTGGGACTACAGAAGACCCTGTTGCAAAGACTGAAAAAAAAAAGAAGTAGCATGGGAGACAGAGGCAGGAATATCATAAATTTGAAGCCATCCTCATTACACAGCAAGTTTTAGGCCAGCCAGGCTGCATGAGACCATGTCAGTCAAAACAAACTAACAACAACAAAAAAGAGCATTTGAAAACATTTTATTTTTCTTTTATGTATATGAGTGTATTGCCTATATGTATGTAAGTGCACCTGTGTCATGCAATCCCAGAGGAGGTCAGAAGGGGGTGTTGGATTGCCCTGGAACTGGAATTATGGGTGGTTGTTAGCTGCCAGGTGGGTGCTGGGAATCAAACCTAGGTCCTCTGCAAGAACAGCCTGTGCTCTTAACTGCTGAGCCATCTCTCCAGCCCCCCAAACAGCACTGCTCTTCCAGAGGACCACAGTTCAGTTCCCAGCACCCATGACCAGCAGCGCAGCTCACAACCCCTTATAAGACTATCTCCAGGGATCCAACACCATCTTCTGGCCTTCTGGGGCACCTGCACTCACATACACTACCACAAAATTAAAAATAATAGAAATATAAATCTTTAAAAAAAAAAAAACTTTATAGCCTGGACATGGTCATGTACTCCTATTTAATCCCAGCACCTGGGAGACAGAAGCAGGCAGATCTATGTGAGTTTGAAGCCATCCTGGTCTACCCAGTTCATTTCAGGACAGCAGCCGGGGTTACACAGTGAGACCCTGTCTCGAAAAACAAACAAGTGATACTGATATTCATATATTGCAACTTTTTCATTATGCAACTTTTATTTTTAATGTTTTTACATTTACTGGTATGTGTATGTGTGTGTGTGTGTCTGTGTATGTATGTATGTAAATATATGCATGACACAGTGCTCATGTGAAAGTGAGAGGACAACTTGCAGGAGTCAGAACTCCTCTTCCATCATATTGGTTCTGGGGACTGAACACAGGTATTCAGGCTTGGTCACAAGCATCTTGACCCACTGAGTCACTTCCCTGACCCCATTAACTGTACAATCACAATTATGTTTTTTTAGGGTGTCTTTGCAGCCCCAGCTGGCCTGGAACTTGCTATGTACACCAGGCTAGCCTCAATCTTGCACCTGCTTCCTGAGTACTGAGATTAAAGGTGTGTGTTACCATACCTGCCTTTATACAACTTTTTTAAAACTATGTATGACCAGGGCTGGAGAGATGGCTCGGTGGTTAAGAGCACTGACTGCTCTTGCAGAAAACCAGGTTTGATTCCCAGCACCCACATGGTGGCTACGAACCGTCCTTAACTCCAGTTCCTGGGGAATCCGAAGCCCTCTTCTGACCTCTGAGGCATTGCATGACACGGGTGCACTCACATACATACAGGCAATACACTCATATACATAATATA